ACCACACAGAGACAGATGCATGAGGAACTCTAGATGTTCCAGCTCCCAGCTGTTTGAGTCTTCCCAGCCCAAGTGGCAGACCTGAGCTGACCTCTCTGATGATTGCAGCTCCCAGATTTCAAGCTGCCCCTATCTGAAGCTAAGTGGAGCAGGTTCTCAGGTCTGACTTAGTCTTGTCCTTTTCGTCAATGTTTCAGAAGCAGAGCAGGGTTTCCTGCCTGCTTGAAACTGCCCTTACAGCATCCCTCATTTCTATATACGTGGCTTCTGGTAAAACTGTTAAGACCTAATTCATTTAATACATAGGAGTGAACATAGAAAATTAAGACGATCTTTTTTTCTCTATCAACAAGTCCTGGGATTTGAACATATTATCTCATTAGGAACTCAGGAAAATTGACTTTGAGATTCCAAGTTCGTTGGGCATCACATTAGTTTAACATTTTGAAAATATTTGTTGTATCTGTACTGTTTACTAGGACAGAAATCTGGCTCTGTAATCAGTTACACCTGCACTGTACCACATACACTGCAAAGCTGAGAGGTAATGTCTGCAATTGCTTACTGTGTTATCATCTAAAGATCGTTACTTTTCCATCTTTTGAGGCTCAGAGTGACCAACTACATGAGTGGTTCTCCTCCAGGGGCAAAATTTTGCATTGCCTCCACCTCTCCCCATCCCCATCCCCATCAGGGACATTTTTAATATCTAAAGACAGTTGTACTTGTCAAGACTGAGGGCAGAGACACTAATAAACAACCTGCAAAGCACAGAACAATGCCACCCCCCCCTGCCCCCCTAACAAAGACTTATCCAGCCCAAACTGTCAACAGTGCTGAGGTTGAGAAGCCCTGAACTAGGCAACTGCCTCCTCTCTTCCCATTAATGCCATCTAATGACTTCTCAATCACTCCCTCACCTCTCATTCCAATGAACGTGGCCTTCTACTTCAGCAACGGATTCCTAGGCCACACGTGGACTTTGACATCACCAAGAACAGTTTCTCTTCTGAAATCTTAGATATTATGGTCCTGTTCTCTTTACACCTACTCTCCTGCTAGCTGTCTTTCTCCCTGGCTCTCTCTCTCTGTTTTTTTACTTCATTCAGACCTCTGGTTCATAAAATGCCTCCTTTTTCCCCATCATGACTTCTTAGACTTGCACTAGAAATAGAAATATATAGCAAGCTACATAGATAATTTAAAATACTCTAGAAGCGATTGTTTAAAAATGTAAAATGAAACAGGTACAGTTAATTTTCATAATATATTGTGTCGTCGGAAAAGTCATGACACACTTTTGCATAGAAAACATAGAAAAAAATACGTCATGACTTTTCCGACGACCCAATATTTTACTTAACCCAATATATTCAAAATATCAGTTCAGCATTAATCAATATACAGAATTAATAATGGGATATTTTACTTTTTTGTACAAGGTCTTTAAAATCCTATGTATATTTTGCACTTATATCACATTTCTATTCTCACTAGCCACTTTTCCGGTGCTCAAGAGCTACACATGTCTAGTGGCTACATATTGGATGGTGCCACTCCAGACTTCACTTCCTTCATAGGGATATTCAGCCTAGATACCAAGGTGTGTCACTTCACCCATCCTTATAGCGGCACCCTCAACTCTCTCATCCCAGTGTACTTCTGTTTGGCTTATCGGCATAATCTCAATTTTAGATCAATCTAAACTTCTCACTGCTAGAGATGATTACACAGCTCTATGTTGGCATCACCGCTGAGCAACTCAGTAGCCTTTGTCCACATTAGCTTCCTCTTATACTCTAATAACAATAATCAAAACTTTACTACTCGGGCCGGCCCAGTGGCGCGTTGGTTAAGAGCTGGCTTGGGACGCCAGAGGGCCCTGGTTCGGATCCCACATATGAGGGCCAGTGACATTGCCCTCTACAGCTAAGATGCTGAACAACAGCTCAACCTGGAGCTGGGCTGCGGTGAGTCACTGGCGACATTGTAGGCTATAGCCCCTGCTGCAGTGGGTTGCCATGGGCTACCGTGTGTAGCCAGCAGCCAGCATGAGTGGCCAGCAGCCACCGTGAGCGGCCATCCAGAGGCCGGCGACTGATCTGCCTTGCCCGGGAAGAGCGCAATGATGGTGCCAACTTGGGCCGGTGAAGCAGCGTTCTCCACAACTAGATTGAAGAACAAAAGGACAGCAACTTGTCTGTTCCCCTTCCCCCAATTCCCCAGCACTGTTCCCATCCCCCAATTCCCTAATAAAAAAAATCTTAAAAAAACCCCACAAAACTTTACTACTCAGAATTTCACTATGTATCATTTATAAACAAAGATAAAAATCTTGATTAAAAAAAACTTCAAGATTTTTGTCTCAACACCCAAACACTATAGATGACTTAATTTTCTATTTCATAGAGGAAACTGAGTCTCTCAAGATCCCTTCTCCTCTAAAATTGTCTACATCCATACACATCCTTATTTCCTCTTCTGCTTTCAGAAGCAACTCTGTCAGTTGTTTAATCTTTTTACTGGGCTCTTACATAGAGAAGTTTAATTACTTTCTATACCAGTTTCTGATTGCTTCAGTCTCAACTAGACCTTTCTGGTTGTCTCTGCCTCTAATATTTTCAGCCTGTTTTTCCTTCCATTGGTTTATTATCCCTCAACGTATAACTTTATAATTTCCCCACTAATAAAATACCCTCATAATATTGTGTCTCAAGCTACCCAGTGTTATCACCCTCTCTCCTACCCTTTAGAGCTAAGAATCTTGAAAAGTTCTTCTTGACCATCCCATCTCAACTGCTGCAACCTGATTTTCTCCCTCATCACACTGAAACCAGTCTCTTCAAGATTACCCATAACCTCCTGTTGCTAAATCCAATGGGCCCTCTTTAGGCTTTGTAACTTTTGACACTGTTTACTACTGCAACGTCTCTGTAACATTATTATGGTGTAGTGGTTGAGTCAGACTGTGGAGCCATACTGCCTAGGTTCTAATTCTAGTTCTACCACTTATTACCTATGGGACGTGAGGCAAATAATCTGTCTGTGCCTCAGCGATAACAACAATATCTACTTTTAGGGTTATTTTGAAGATTATATGAGTTAATAGCTAACAGTTATCTAGTCCTGTTCTAAGTACTTAACATGTATTAACTCACTTAAAACAGTGCCTAGAACCTAGTAACTTGTATATGTCATCTATAATAATAACATTTTATTATTCCCAATCACTACCCAGTTCAGAAGCTCTCTTAGCTGGGATCCATGCTTGGCAATAGCTGTGGAAAACAGGGGCCAGATATGTTCTCAATGTCCTCACCTCCCCTCCTCACCAGTTTATGCTTGCTGATTGTTATTGGTTGAATTGTGTCACTCCAAAAAAGATGTTGGAGTCATAACCCCTAGTACCTAAGAACATGACCTTATTTGGAAATAGGGTCACTGCAGGTGTGATTAAGATGAGGTCATACTGGTTTAGGGTTGGCCCCTAATCTAATATGACTGGGAAGATGATATGAAGAGACACAGGGAGAGGACAGCATTCAAGAAGCCAAAGAGGACCTGCACCCCAGCTCTGCCTGGAACAGGCCCCTCCCTCAGTCCTCAGAACCAATCTTGCTGACCGCTTTATTTTGGACTTCGAGCCTCCAGAGATGTGAGACAATAAATTTCTGTTGTTTAAGCCATCCAGTTTGTGGTACTTTGTGATGGTAGCCCTAGTAGACTAACACACTGATGAATCAAGGGATGGAGTCTTTTTCACAACTCTCAACATTGAGTGAGAAAGAAAAGTGTTGGGCATTTTTGTCACCTTCTCCCCCATGCTGTGGTTGAGGTCTGTGCCTGTTGCTCAATCTGCAGGAGTGGTTGCTCATGGAAACTTAAGCTGTAGCTGCATCCTGGGTATAGGCATGTGTAGTGGTTTTGTTTTTGTTCTTTTCATTGAAACAAGTCTGTTTTATTGCGTGCCACGAAAGCAAGCAAAGCAAGTGTTGCCAATGTTGACCATTCAGAACATTATACTCCTACGGTAGTCTTATCACTACACTACAGAACAATCATGTATTAACGCTTACATGTTATAGTGCATACATTTAGCACTTACGAGTATAACCAGACATTATTCTAATATGTCTATATTCTCATATATATTCTAATTGATCATTCTAATGTATAGTCTAACATATGTATTCTAATATGTTTAATATATTTTAATCCTCACAATAATCCTATGAGGTAAGTATTATACTTCTACATAGAGAGGTTTAATTACTTGCTGTATTAGTTTCCGATTGCAGTTGTAACAAATTAACACAAATTTAGTGGCTTAAAATAACACAAATTTATTATAATATCTTCTGGAAATCTGAAGTCTGGACTAGATCTCACAGGACTAAAACTAAGGTCTCAGCAGGATTGTGTTTCTTCTGGAAGCCCAAGTGGGCAATTTGTCACTTGGCCTTTTCCAGCTTCTTGAGACCACCTGCATTTCTTGGCTGGTGGCCCTTTCCTTCATCTTCAAATCTCACTCAGACTCTGACCTCTTCTGCCTCTCTCTTTCACTTTAAAGGGCCCTTGTGATTACTTTAGGTCCACCAGGAAAATCCAAAATAAACTCCATATTTTAAAGTTAGCTGGTTAGCAACCTTAATTCCATGTGCAAGCTTAATTTCCCCTTTGCCATGTAACTTAACATATGCACATATTACAGGGAGTGGGATGTGGACATCTCTGGAGGGCCATAAAAAATTCTGCCCTCCACACTAGCCCAAGGTCACAGCCAGTAAGGTGAGTACTGTGCCAGGGGAAACTTTTCTATGTGCGCTATTCGCTTAAATGGAGACAAAAGCTAGTGGGGGACACTTTGCCTCGATACTATTGGCATTTTTCTAGAGCCACATGGAACAACAGTTTTAGAACCGGCCCTTCATGGGCCCGCCTACTCCGAAAACCCCGCCTCCCTCCAGACAACGGAAGCTTCTTTGGCCAGCAACCCTAGAGACGACCAGGCGGGCCGCTCTGCCCGGCGGAAGCGCGCCAGTCCCGGGGGCGGAGGAGCTGACTTAGGTCGCGGAGAAGCAGGTGAGCGGTCTGGTCTGGCAGGCCGCCTCTGGAGGGAGGATCGCGGCGTGGGGCCTGGGGAGCGGGCGGGTCCACGCGGGATGGGGGCGAGTGGGAGACGCGTTCCGGAGGCTGGAGGACTGGCGCCCCAGCGCCGCCCCGGGCCTGGCCGCCTGCCGCGCGCGCAGCCTCCAGCCCCCCAGGTGCGGCGCAGGTGGGATCCTGTCAGGGGAGCGGGGTCCCCCGGAGCACGGATTTGGTCGCGGGTGAACGGGATGACTGATCTGCTCCGTGGTGCGGTCACCCCGCGTGCACCTTCTCAACCTCACCTGTATCACCGGTGATCCCACTTCTGGGCATTTGCAAATCACTTTATTAGTTTAAGTTTGGCAGAGGCACGCGATGGGACACTTTTGTCACATTCAGAGTATATACAAGCCTCTTAATGATCTTATGGGTGTAATATTGAGTAACGGCAAACGTGGGCAGAGAGGACCAATTGTGGTTTTCAGCTAAGAAGTGTCTGTGAGTGGTTGCTGTGTTTATCAGTTACTGTCCATCCCATAGAATAAAGACCCTGAAGTAGAAAAGAACAGGAATGTGGGAAAACTTGGCCTCCTTGTTGAATCATGTAATAATACCAGGGATCACTTAGAATAGTGGCAGAGAACTTTTTTTTTCTTCAGGTCGCTAAATATACTTGAAAGACCTGACTGTTGTTGAGAAATTGTCTTGAAGACAATGCATCTGATTTGGTTGTTTGAAGAAATTACTTCCGGAGTTTTCTAGTAATTCTGTGACAAACAGGAATACAAACAAAATTTTACAGGTCTGTATACCATAGGTTTTGGTTTGTGATTTTTACTTTATGTGCTTTGCTCTCAGTACCACATGATTCCTTGTGGTGTGATTTAAAAATAATAATAATAAAACACTACAAGTAAGCTTTCTGAAAAATCAAGTAAATTCATTCCAGTGTTGTTGTTTTTTTATGTAATGAAAAAAAATCACCTTTCTAAACTTTTAATAATAATAGCTGCCATTTATTTGGGGCTTCTATGTACCAAATAATTGGGAACTTTATAGTCATTCTCTCTTACATATTAAGCAATGGAACTAGCTGCTGTATCCTGGAAATATAGAAGGGGAGACTGAAGTTCCAAGACTATTTAATATCTCCTAGTCTCAGGCACCTCCAACTTAACAAGCCTTTCCTGAACCCTGCCACATTCCCACTGCCAGAAAAATCAAACAAAAACCACGCACACACTCGTGCCTTTCCTCTCTCTCAGAGAATGACACCATCATTAACCCAGTTTACACCAGAAACCTGGGAATCCACCTTGCTCTCTTCTCCCTACTTGTTCCCCCATAAATCTATCACCAAAAATCTTGCCAATTCTTTCTATGTATTTCCTTCCCATTTTCTTTATCCCCGTTGCCACCGTCATCATTTCCCTGCCTTTTCTATTGTTGCAGCCTCCACGCCCCATCCCCTGTCCAGTCCATTCACTCTGTAGCCCGAGTGAGTGATTGTTCTAATATGCAAATATGACTGTATTGCTCTCTTGGTTAAAACCCTTCAGAGACAGCCCATTAATCCAAGTTACTCCAAGGATAAAATCCAGCAGCCTGAACTTGGCTTACAATGGCCTTCAGACAGTCTCTGTCTGCTTTACCAGCCTGTTTCAGTTCTCTTTCAATTCCTCAACTGAACACAACTCTTTTGCCTTTAAATATGCAATTCCCTCTGCTTCCATTACTTCCTCCCCACCCCCACCCCCACTTTGCCTATCAAGCTTCCATTCATCCTTCAGACTTCAGCCTAAATATCATTTTTCAAACTCCCCTGGATATTTCCGCTCTATGCCAGCGTAGCTCTTTCTGTAAGACTTACCACCCTACCTATGTTGAGACCTGTGGTCCCGCTTCCATTGAGGTGTGGTGATGGCACGGACAATGAGAGATGTGTGCAGGATTATAAAACCTGGTGCAGGTGCTCAGTGTCTACCTGTTGAATAATAAAGGAATAAGTTGCTGTTGTCCTGTCATGGTGATTAGAGCTACTTTGCATTAATTCTGCCGTTTGAAAATAAATGTAACTCTCAAATATTTCTATTTTTGAATATAGTTTGGGAGCGTCCGTGGCTGTCTCAGTGCCCAGCATGGATGGCTACACAGTCCTGAGAGTGATCGGGGAGGGCTCCTTCGGCAGAGCCCTTTTGGTTCAGCAGGAAAACAGTAATCGGATGTTTGCCATGAAGGAAATAAGGCTTCCCAAGGTCACTGCTGAAGAAATTAGCTCATGTTGAAAGCGTACATGCCATTTGTATAGAAGAATAAGTTCTTGAGATTTAACATGAAATTGCTCCTCGGTGCAAAAGATGTAATGGGTTTATTCATTAGCTTTACAAGGTCTTAATATATTTATGTGGTTCTTAGATTATTGTAGTTAACAAAAAGGGAGAAAAGTAGTCAAAGGTGACGATTGCTGTTTATCTCGGTGAGAATAATTTGTAATAATTTCCAATTTCGTATACCTAATGGTGTAGGGAATCTGCCAAAAACAACTCAGGTGTAGTATTAATGGAAAAGGAACATAAAAATACAATGGCGAGCAAAGACCTGAAATGCTAACTTTTGGCATCAGGGAACATATTCTGTGGATCAGTTTGTAGGTTTTATTTCCCCATATGATGAGGAAGGTGCTGATTTATCACTGTGTATCATAGCTGTCATATGAAAGAATCCATGCTATGGAGGCTGCTTGATACTGTTTTGATCAATTTTAAAAAAATACATTTTAATAAAATTCCCTGAGTGCTAATTTCCACACCCCCCCGACTGTATTCTTGACTTGTTTAGTGATTCTAAACTTGAGTGGGCATCAGAATCACTTGGAGGGCTTGTTAAAACACATTGCTGAGCCACACACCCTAGTTTCCGCTTGAGGCCTCTGGTGGACCTGTGAATTTGCATTTTTAACAAATTCCCTGTTAGTGCTGATGTTGGGGGTCTGAGAACCACTGTGCAGTTTTTTGTTTGTTTGTTTTTTTGTAGAGGGCAGTGTCACTGGCCCTCATATGTGGGATCCGAACCGGGGGCCTCTGGCGTCCCAAGCCAGCTCTTAACCATCTGTGCAGTTTCTTAATTGTAAGATAATACATTCAGGATTTTATCCTCATAGAGTAAGTTAAAGGATAAATAATTTTGGAAACTACTTTGCAATGGTCTTTGTCCATCTTTGCTGCAGTAATACACCAGTATATTCTTTTTTATCTGGGCCGATGGACTGATAAAGTGATGCAGACAGTAAAAACATGAAATCTCTAGTTTTCTTTACGGATATACTACTGTTAATGGCCTACTGGCTCTCCAATTCAGGTTATACTTTGGCTAGTGTCAAAAGTAGTTTGCATTTATACTTGTCAGAATATAAGAGGTCAGCTTAAGCATGCAAAATATAGCCATAGTTGAAAAATCACCACATGTTTTCTCTTAGAGTTTGACAAACTTAAGCTGGATTAGAGTGTGGTGCTGTAAAACTGCACCTGGCTTTGAAGTATCATGTAAACTATATGATTGTGAAGCTGTCTACTTTAAAATGACTATTATATTTACACTCATTTAAAATCTCCCTCTAGTCTTTCTCTAATACACAGAATTCTAGGAAGGAGGCTGTTTTGTTAGCCAAAATGAAACATCCCAGTATTGTTGCCTTTAAAGAATCATTTGAAGGTAAATATGAATTTCCCCAGGTGCATGCATTTCTGAATTTGATTATGGCCACTGCACTTTCTTAAAGAGTCTTCCATTTGTTTTAGCTGAAGGACATCTGTATATTGTGATGGAATACTGTGATGGAGGGGACCTGATGCAAAAGATTAAACATCAGAAAGGCAAGTTGTTTCCTGAAGATACGGTAAGAGACTAACATAGTTTCCTTCAAGATTTAGAAGCAACTTTTCTCATAAAAATCTGTATAAGTTAAAACCAAAGTGTTGGGTCTGTAATTACCTGACACACTAGTTAGAAAGGCCTCATTTTTGTTGTCAGAATATGGCTGATGTTTAGAAGAATTTCACAATTGTATTACTCATCTTATTTTGTACTACAATAGATACTTAAAATTTTGATTTTTATTGTATTTAAAGTTTAGAGTGCAGATGGATTTATTTTGTATTTCTAGATCATCAGAAAAATGAAGCCCACATTTCTGTTTCTTGGGAGCACCTGTTCTCTATCTTTTTCCTTTTAAAGTTTAGCATATTTCCTTAAGTCTAGTGCTTACTGCCTTTTTAATCGAAAATTGTGTGCTAATATTTGAATGAATTGACTAAGGAAAGTATTTAAGTGAACAGCTTTCATGTGGTTTAATTTGCTTTACGGTATGTTATAAAATTGTATTGGTATAAATATATTTTTATTTAGAAGTTGTTTTGTTAAAATTGTTTTGTTAGAAATATGGCTTCATATTTCCAAGGAGGTCAACCTTGACTTCAAATGAATGAACCCCCACACCAAAAAAGAAAAAAAATATCAGTTTGACATTTAATTCTAGGCACCTGGAAATTCTGGGTATTGTTGGCTGAGGATTTATAAGCAGAATACTGACCTCAAAGGATTATTGACAATATAATAAAATCTTTTAATGTTAATATAAGAATATTTTGAAAAAGGAAATGGAAATCTGATGTAATGATTACGCTATAAAATTGTAGCATATTCATTTCTAAGTGGTAAACTACCTTTATATATGTATTTAAGAAATACTTTAGTTTGGTTGAATACAAGAAAAATACAGTGGGAGTTTTATTAAATTGCTACTTGGATCTTACATAAGATGAAGAAACATGTAATTCATAGTTTTTCTGACTTTCTCTAAGCAACACTGACTCTTAGTAGAACTATGCCATTTTTTAGAAGTTCTATGTTTAAATCACGTAAAACCAAAGTCACCTAATGCCTAGAGACCATTCTTTGGAATTTTGGGTTAAATGAATCAATTTTTTGCATTCTTGCAGATTTGCATGCTTTTTTCTTACAGATACTTAATTGGTTTACACAGATGTGCCTTGGAGTAAACCACATTCACAAGAAACATGTGTTACACAGAGATATCAAATCCAAGGTAAGCGGAATATATTTTGGGGCCATAAAACCCCCAAAACTATTTCATGGTCCTTTTTTCTGTGTTATTCTATTTCCTTTGAGGACATTTTTATTTAGTTTAGAAATATTTGTCAACCTAATATTCATACTAGTAAAATAAGGTACTACCTGATAAAAAGTCGTTAAATCTCTTTAGTAGTGTGTGTTAATATGTCCCAAGCTCTCTTAGCGACTGCTTCCTAAGACCATCTGTTGTCAGATGGAAAATGGCTGAGACCTGGGCCTGCCACATGAAGTTATCCTGATACAGGTTCCCAGTCAGTCGATCAGGGTCTGCTGATACAATCTGAAGCTTGGTGGTTCCATTTCTAAGCAGCTATTCTGAATTCACAAGCAGGAGGATATATAGCTGTCAAGAGGCTCTTTGTCTTTTTGTGTTCCACTCAAGAACTCAGCTATCAACATTTCTACCCTCAATCTCCATCATCAGCAGGCTTTGAAAGACAGCTTCTCCGTTGACCTCTGCCTTATGTTTGAGTGATAGAAGACATAATCTGAGCTCTTCTTTTTAATGCAGAACATCTTCCTCACCCAAAATGGGAAAGTGAAACTGGGAGATTTTGGATCTGCCCGTCTTCTCTCTAAGTACGTATTCTATTCTGTAGTAGTGACAGTAATCAGATCATCCATTACTTCGGAATGCTCCGTACTCACTCTTTGCCTCTCTGTGGTTTTAGTCCCATGGCGTTTGCTTGTACTTACGTGGGAACACCTTATTATGTGCCCCCAGAAATTTGGGAAAACACACCTTATAACAATAAAAGGTAAGTGACGTACTTATTCGGTGCAAGGGTGACTGTTTGGTGACAGGCATTGTAGCCTACAAATGAAGTTTGGTTTTTAAAAAATATATAGGTGAAAGCAGTGTCAAATCTGAATTCCTAGGCTTCTAGATGAAAATCGTATTTTTCCAACTGTTTTAATCAGAGTTGAGAGGAGCTAAATGTAAATGCTGAAAGAAAGGCTAGTCATTTCTAGTATGAGTTATATCACTGGTTCTCAGACTTTGCTGTTCCCCCTTTTAAAATTCCCAAAGTGTGGGTTGCAACCATACCAGCTCAGTCAGAATGTCTGGGGTGGGAAGCAGGCATCCGTAATTTCCCAGGATCACCAAGTGATGTTCCCATGTGCAGCAAAATTCAGGAACCACTGGATTATGTCACTGAGTTAACATTTACAGGACTAGACCATAATCATTTGATTGATAGGTTAATTGATTACAATAAGATAGTATGAAGTCCTTATGATTTAAAACTTAAAATTTTTTTCTGAATATAAGTAATATTTGCCTGTTGAATAAGTCGGTGGTCAGGGTGGGATTGGAAATATGGAATTGTGCAAGAGAGGAAATGGCAATCACCCACTTTTTCACAACGATTAACATTTTGGTGTTTTCTTCACCCATTCATTTCTCCCCCACCCAAACCTAGCTTATGTATTCTATATACAATTTGGTATCTTGCTTTTTTTCATTTTATATTACATCATATTCATTTGTATATGATGTTTAAGATTTGTATATGAGGTTAATCACTTAAGTAATTATTTAAGTGATTAAATGCTTATATAAATCTTCAATATTTAAACTCTTATATTTAAACTCTTCCTAAATATTGTTAATGGTTACATATTTTACTACATGGTTCTTCCAAAATTTACTTAACATCCCTCTGTTGTCTCCAATTTTCAATGTCATAAACAATGCTGTGATTAATATACCTTTATTTATTTATTTATTAACTGAGCCATCCTGCTGCCTGTTGGCAGCTCAGCTCGGGCCGGGTATTGAAGCGCTGTTGCTCAGATCTCGTACTCTTGAGCGAGCTCTTAACCAACTAGCCACTCGACTGGCCCCATAGTATACCTTTTATTCATAACTATGTCATTGTGTTGTATCACATTCTTGGCATGAAATCTGAGAAGTAGAAACACCTAAAGACTCTTGCTAATCTTAAAAAAAAAAAGAAAAGGGTACGATAATCCATACTAAATGGGTGCCTTAAGAGTAAAATTGACTGAGTTGGGGACAAAACAGCTATAAAGGGACTTACTGAGGCAATTAGGAAAATTTCAGTTCTTTTTTTTGTTTGTTTTTTTAAAGATTTTGATTGGGGAATTGGGGGTATGGGAACAGCGCTGGGGAATTGGGGAAGGGGAACAGACAAGTTGCCGTTGTTTTGTTCTTCAGTCTAGTTGTGGAGGACGTTGCTTCACTGGCCCAAGTTGGCACCATCATTGCGCTCTTCCCAGAGGAGG